TGTTTGTGGTTGTAATGTGACAAAATATGGAAAAGTTCAAGGGGTATGAATACTTTTGCAAACCACTGTATGTGTATGGGTATGCGTATATTTTTATATGCCCTACATGTATGTATCCATTTATTTTTCAGGTGAGCAGACAGATGTTGGGTGTGTGGTCCTGTGTTTTGTTGGTGTATATTTAATATACTTCTAATCGCTATTTCAATCTTTCTATCTTTCTAATTACTTCTCTCTCTGTTTTTCTCTTTAAAAAAAGACTAGCTGAAAAGCTAAAAGTAGCGAAATGCTAACTAAAAGCATCAAAATGCTCTGTAGAATTTCAAAGTTGGCGCATGTTAACTACAAGCTAAAAATATTAAAATGCTAGTTTGAAGCTACAAGTAGCAAATGTACAAACCGAAAGCTAAAGAAGCAAAACAGCAGCTAAAGGAAACATAGCCTGAGTTTCTTTATTTCTCTTATTGTTCAAATCAAAATATTTATTTCAAGTTTCAGACAAAAAATAAAAAAACAACTTAACAATGAAGTGAAATTAATGACATAATTAAAAAAAAACTACTCTGATCTTTAAAAAAAAAGAATGTCAGACTCAGGTGCAGCCTTCATCTGTAAACCCCGCCCCCTTCCATCATCATCATCATCATAACACGGAAGCAGTTCAACACGGAGGAGGTTTGCAGAGCAAGAGGTGCGGAACGGTTCTAAATAAAACCCAGAGGAAACAGAACCACCGGGCAGGTGGAACCAGGAGGATAAAAGGCTCTCCCAGAGCGGCAGAAGGAGAACATCATGGCGCTGATCCCCTCTCAGGTCCTCCGGGTCGCCATCCTGCTGTCTTACTTCTCCATCCTCTGCCACTACCGAGCCCTGGACATGCCGGCTCACCAGACCTACGGAGGCAGCTGGAAGTTCCTCACCTTCATCGACCTGGTGACATTTTCCCTTTCCTAATACTCAGTACAGGTCGAGCTGCTGCTGCTGCGGGCTCACATTAAACCCCTTGTTCCCCGCAGCCTGCTCCCTTTGTTCGGCTGAGACGAACCGGTTGGTTCTGAAAACAACAAACACATCAGATTATTACTGTTTACTGCGCGGGAAATGTGTCTGCAGTCACGTTAGAGGCAGCAGCGAGTGCAGGGTTCAATGTGCAGCAGCTGAACCGGAACAGGTGTTGTGCTCAAAAATGATCTGTCACACAAACACCTCCCCGCGGGCGGGAGCGCGCCGCGCGCTCCAAGAGGGCAGGTAGCACCGCTACAAGCCTGTTGGCTGTTGCTAAAAGCTAACATAAGCGCAGTAACTTAAAGCTACTGCTGAAAGCTAACATAGCTCAAGAATAGCGTAAATCTAAAATTAGTAAAAAAGTAACTTAAGCTAAAACTAGCAATAATGAATCAAAACCAAGAATAAAATTGTCGTAACAAAGCAGGGTTTTATAATTAACAAAATTATAGTTAAAACTTAAAATCAGTAAAGCTGTTGATAGAAGCTGAAATTTACTGAGCCCGCGAGGGGACATGGGGGATGCTTTTTTCTTTTGCGTTCCCACGCAGAAGTATTGCGTTACCTCGCAATACCTTTTGCGTTCCCTCGTAAAGGTCGTTAAATACTGTTGTGCCTGCCGGTTTATTAATAAACTCACGTTTACCGTTAGCAAGTTAGCTTACTGCTTTAATTCAGCTTCAGAATGAATATATCACACAGCCACGCATGGAAGTATGTCATATGCCGATATTTTAACACAGTACAGCCACACAACATCCGTATRATTTTCACGAACTTGTGGCGACACATCCTGTTTTGGTAACCGGATATTTCAAAATAAAAGTCTGATTTAATTCAGTTCATATACAAATCAAACTTTTGCGTGGGAACGCAAAACAGTTGCGTGGGAATGCAAAACAGTATTGCGAGGTAACACAAAAGTATTGCGAGGTAGCACAATTGTATTGCGAGGTAACGCAATAGTCCTGCGAAGTAACGCAAAAGTATTGCGAGGTAACAGAATAGTATTGCGAGGTAACGCAAAAGTATTGCGAGGTAACGCAATAGTACTGCGAGGTAACGCAAAAGTATTGCGAGGTAACAGAATAGTATTGCGAGGTAACGCAATAGTATTGCGAGGTAACGCAATAGTATTGCGAGGTAACGCAAAAGTATTGTGAAGTAACGCAATAGAACTGCGAGGTAATGCAAAGGTATTGCGAGGTAACAGAATAGTATTGCGAGGTAACAGAATAGTATTGCGAGGTAACACAAAAGTATTTTGAGGTAACGCAATAGTATTGCGAGGTAACGCAATAGTATTGCGAGGTAACGCAATAGTATTGCGAGGTAACGCAAAAGTATTGCGAAGTAACGCAATAGAACTGCGAGGTAATGCAAAGGTATTGCGAGGTAACAGAATAGTATTGCGAGGTAACAGAATAGTATTGCGAGGTAACTCAAAAGTATTATGAGGTAACACAAAGGTTATTGCGTGAGAACGCAAAAGAAAAGAAATCCCCCATGTCCCCTCGTGGGCTCAGTAGAAATTAGCTTTCTGTAGCTAAAAGCTATGATTAACACAACAGCATGACCAAAATATTGAGGTACACTTCGCTGCAGCATGCAGCTCGGGGCGGTGACAGACCTTTCCGTCAGTCATACCTTATATGGAAA